TGCGTCGGCAAATACGAAGGCCAGCTGGTGGAGTGGATGGTGACGGCGTTGCGGATGATGCGAGTGCCCCGGATATGCGTGTAGCTGAATTGGGTGACAGTGCTGTGGACGCTCGGGGCGCGGCGGATGGCCCCAGCGCTTCTGATGGGCTGGGCGCTACGGACGATGCATGTGCAGCTGGGGGCGGGTCGCAGCAGCAGGCGACGGTGCTGTGGACGGGCGGGCGCTGCGGACGGCCCTGGCGCAGGGCACGATGCATGTGTAGCGGCTGGGTGGGTCGCAGCAGCGGCCGACTGCTGTGACGGGCGGGGCGCTGCGGACGGCCCTGGCGCTGCAGATGGGCTGGGCGCCGCGAACGTTGCATGTGCAGTGGCTTGGCGGGTCGCAGCAGCAGCCGACGGTGCTGTGGACAGGCGGGGCGGTGCGGACGGCCCTGGCGCTGCGGACGATGCTGTGCAGCGCTGGGCGGGTCGCAGCAGCAGGCGACGGTGCTGTGGACGGGCGGGGCCCTGCGGACGGCCCTAGCGCTGCAGATGGCCTGGGCGCTGCGGACGTTGCATGTGCAGCGGCTGGGCGGGTCGCAGCAGCGGGCGACGGTGCTGTGGACGGGTGGGTGCTGCGGACGGCCTTGGCGCTGCAGATGGGCTTGGCGCTGCGGACAATGCATGTGCAGCGGCTGGGCGGTCGCAACTGCGGGCGACGGTGCTGGTGGACGGCGGGGCGCTGCGGACGGCGGCCTGGCGCTGCAGATGGGCTGGGCGCTACAGACGATGCATGTGCAGCGGCTTTGCGAGTCGTAGCAGCGGGCGACGGTGTTGTGGACGGGCGGGGCGCTGCTGAATGCGCCGCCGCTGCGGCATTCGGAGGTGGGCGTCCTGCGCCGCCCTGTCTCTGTTAGCGGCCGCGTCGCTGCGAGTGTGCTTGGCGAGCACGCCGCCTGCTTCGGCCGCAATGTTCTTGGCGGTCGCACGCGTCCGGCGTGTTTGCTGAACGTTGCGTTGGCGAATACGAAGGCCAGCTGGTGGAGTGGGGATTGGCCCAGCCCGGCCACTGGCGCTGCACCGTAGAGGTAAGTCGTGAGCAGGGGATGGGATTCCCCTGCACCGACCTTGAGCTCGTTGTACTTGCTCAAAGACCGGGCTGTCCAAAGCCGCCATAACATGTCTGCGGAAGTCTTCCCGAACCGCTTCACGTTTTGCTGTATGTGCCACCCACAGAAGTTGTGCGCCACCTTCTCAGGGAACACTTCCTTCACTGCGGGATGAGACCGTTGTCCCGGTCGCTGATGATAGCCGCGCGTCGTCCCGTCCCTTCCAGTCGGAGCAGTGCTTATCAAAGAGCCGGCAAAACAAAGTCCATGTGTCCTTGGTTTCGCTCTCTACGAGCGCCCACGCGATCGGGATGATTTGTTGATTGCCGTCCATCGCGTTGGCGTACAGCAGAGTAGCCTTCCGAGCACGGATAAGGAAAGTCCCCTCCAGTGCAATGATAGGCCTGCACGTCTTCAGTGCTTTACGTTTTGCACTCGACGCCACGAAGAAGCGGAGAAATTCGTGGCTGTAAGTCAAAAGCTCCACGGTTGCTCCGCTGTCGATCTGCCGAATGGGCTCTTGCACCGCCGGAATGTAGCGGAATGACTCGCACCAGTCGCCGAATCGCTGCGCCGTGATGCCTACCTTCAGCCTGCGTGGGTGGAATGTATGGGTGGTATCGGGAAATGAGTGAAGTGGAGGCACAACAGATGCTGAAGAAAAGCTCCCTTGATGTTCGGCCTATGACGGGTGTACGCTCACCGGTACGCGTTGTTGTAAGTTAACTTCGGACCAGAGCAGCCGTAATCTGCCTGGCGTAGTCCCAAGGGGCGTTGAATGGCGCTGCACGGACGAAGTTGCCGAATTTCCGCCAAAGGTACTTCCTCTTACGTCCCATTACGGGCCAAAACCACCGTGTCCGTAGACACGGTCGCATGTGTGCTCTGCGGGATCGGACAGCTCTACGATTTGCCACGGTCCGTTCCGCTCGAGACGAGCCTAGCTGCAGCGCCATGGACAAGGGGGGTCCAACCCTAGCCTCTGACTCTTGCACAACGCTAGCGCCGATGCTTTTCTGTAGACTTCATGTGGAAACCGTATTTATGCACTACCGCATCATCAAGCAAGGCAAAGAGGGAATGATCCTGCGAGGAGTACCAGTTACCCTCCTGAATGGCAGCGTTGTCATTGATAGTAGCCCCTCCTCGGGTTCAAACTCTATGTCGAACTGCTCCAGGATAATGTTATACATGTCACGGCCATTAGCCGAGGTTCCTCCATTGTGGATCTGATACAACACCTAGGCTATCCACGCGCCAATTTGTAGATGATCATCCGCTGCCCGGGTTTTTTAACGGCGAGACGCGAGCACATGATTACGCCATGTAGAACTGCATCTGGTGTTGGAGTATGATGGACTTAGAATCCCTGACACTTCGTACAACAGCTAGGAACAACAACATTCACTTGTCGTCCCAGGTGGCATAATCCTGGCAGTGGGTTCCACCGTGCGTATATATGAATTGTGGCATGTAAAACCCCGATCGTTTATACCCAATCAAACCCAGACGAGTGGCATGTATATGTAAAAGTGGCGCGATGATTGGAAATATGAACGGACCGTTCAGAAACTCGCGAATCCGCCGCCAACACAACGATTCGCATGCATTCTTGCATGACGTGTCTGTCGTAAGTCCTCGCACGGGGAAGCTAGTTCAGAACGACAGAACTAAACCGAGTCGTCCGACAGATGAAGTTGTGTAGTGCAAGTTCACGTAACGTCTCTGTAGATGCGCCTGGCACGCACGAAAGAATGGTTAAAACACTAGCCAGTGTTGTGTCGCCACGTTCAACCCCACAAGCCTCCATTCCTCCACTCTTGTGAATCGAGACTGACTGCCGAACCTGGACGCGCCACCGTTCGCCGAACCGACTTCCACACTGTCAGGAGAGAAATGCCCAATAGGATGATACTGCGTGGCAGGGACGTTTGATGTCAACCAGCGAACTCCCCACCGACAATTTGGAACCCACAAAAAAATAACCCTCATAATGTCAAACTTATATGCTGTAGTTTGTGTCGGCTATAGTGGGTAGACAATATGGGATACAACACCGCTAGGTTTTCCTACTTGTACCCACCTGCCTACTAGTTCATTCATTTCCTCATTTCTTGACATGGTATAGAGCAGGTTCCCTAGTGGGAACACTTCCTTAAGCCCGCCACTGGAACTTTTTTTCCAACTAGAGCGACAGTCGCTCCTGCCCGAGGCGTGCCTTGTGGGCTGCCCTTCTGTCGACCTCTGTTAGAGGCCCCTCTCACGGCCCCTCGCGCCATCCTCAGCGGCCCGTCGCCGCCCCTAGCGGCCCCGTAGCCGCCCTTCTAGTCCCCTCGCGGCCCCTAGCGGCCCCGTAGCCGCCCCTAGCGGCCCCGTCGCCGCTCACCTCCCTACGCGCCCTGTTGCCGCCCCTACGCGGCCCCGTCGCCACCCCTAGTGGCCCCGTCGCCGATCCTAGCGGCCCCGTCGCTACTCCCCCTCCTACGCGGCCGCGTCGCCACCCCTACACGGCCTCGTAGCCGCCCCTACGTGGCCCCGTCGCCGCTCCCCTCCCTACGCGGCCCCGTCGCTGCCCCTAGCGGCCCCGTCGCCGCCCCTAGCGGCCCCGTCGCCGCCCCTACCCGGCCCCGTCGCCGCCCCTAGCGGGCAGCTGAGCCGCCGAGCCGCCTAGCAGCAGTGCCCCTGGAGCAGCCGCCACTTCAGCAGCCGCCTCTGGAGCAGCCGCCCGGAGCAGCCGCCACTATAGCAGCCGCCACTGCAGCAGCCGCCCTTGGAGCAGCCGCCACTAGATCAGCCGCCCTTGGAGCAGCCGCCACTGCAGCAGCCGCCCCTGCAGCAGCCGCCACTGCAGCAGCCGCCCCTGCAGCAGCCGCCCCTGGAGCAACCGCCACTGCAGCAGCCGCCCCTGGAGCAGCCGCCCCTGCAGCAGTCGCCCCTGGAGCAGACGCCACTGCAACAACCGCCCCTAGAGCAGCCGCCACTACTGTCAGAACATTATAGCTTATGCTGTTGTGTAGGCTATAGTGGGGTATCCCATAGGGGGTACAACCCAATTAGGGTTGGTACTTGTACTCACACATTTCATAGTTCATCCATTCACGTTCTTATTCTCACATGGAATCAGAGCAGGTCCCATCCTAGGGACTGTTCTCTAGGGCCCACCGAAGCGCGCCCCGAGGCGCGCGTTCTTTTTTTTCTCGCGACCCTCCGTGTCGCCCTTCCCCTCGCGCCCCGCCGCCCTTCTCTCGCCCCGCCGCCCTTCAGTTGCGGCCGGTCCCGCGCCCTCTAGTCGCGGCCGGCCGCCGCCTCCTCCTCGCGGCCCCGCCGCTTCCTCGTCGCGGCCCCCGCGCCTTCCTAGAACACCCCCGCCTCCTCGTCGCGGCCCCGCCGCCTCCTCCTCACGGCCCCGCCGTTTCCTCGTCGCGGCCCCCTCCGCCTCCTCGTCGCGGCCCCCGCCGCTTCCTCGACGCGGCCCCCGCCGCTTCCTCTTCGCGGCCCCGCCGCCTACTACCTGCGGCCTACCGCTGCCTTACCTGCGGCTCACCGCCGCCCTACCTGCGGCCCTGCTGCCGCCCTACCTGTGTGGCCCCCCGCAACCCTACCAGCGGCCCACAGCCGCCCTACCTGCGGCCCTACCGCCGCCCTACCTGCGGCTCTCTGCCGCCTTACCTGCGGCCGTCCCCCGCCCTACCTGCGGCCCACCCGCCGCCCTACCCTGCGCCGTCCGCCGCCCTACTACCTGCGGCCGTCCCGCCGCCCTACCTGCGGCCCCCCGCCGCCCTACCTGCGGCCGTCCGCCGCCCTACCTGCGGCCTGCTCGCCGCCCTACCTACGGCCCACCGCTGCCCTACCTGCGGCCCACCCGCCGCCCTACCAGCGGCCCAGCCGCCCTACCTACGCGGCCCAGCACCAGACGAGCCGCCCAGCGGCAGCCGAGCCGCCCAGCAGCAGCCGAGCCGCTCAGGAGCAGCCGAGCCGCCCAGGAGCCGCCGAGCCGCCCAGCAGCAGCCGAGCCGCCCAGCAGCAGCCGAGCCGCCCAGGAGCAGCCGAGCCGCCCAGGAGCCGCCGAGCCGCCCAGCAGCAGCCGGCCGCCCAGCAGCAGCAGAGCCGCCCAGGAGCCGCCGAGCCGCCTTGCTACCGGACCGCCCGACCTGTCCTGTCTGGTGAGCACGGCACCGCCCCACTGCTACTGAGTACCCTTCCCCGCTGCTTGCACTGCTAGTCTGTCGTCATGGCTACCCCCAGTGTCCTCGCTCTTTTGACGCTGAGGTCGAGCCATTGACTTTGAGGTCTGGTCGACGACCTGCAGTTGTTTTTTACAGTGCGATAGAGCGGACGGTCTCTCTCTCTTTGACCTCACCTCTGGCGCCTCCCCTGCCCCCCTGGCTGCTGATGCTGACCCCACTGTTCGGTCTCAGTGGGCCACTCGCGATGCTGCTGCACGTCTTGCTGTGCGTCGCCACTTGCCCACCACTGAGCGCGGCACTTTAGTCAGTACAAGAGTGCTCAGACCTTGTACGACGCTGTAGTTGCGTGCTACTCTTCCCCTGCCACTGCTGCACTGAGCCGTCTCATGCTACCGTACCTCTTTCCTGACCTCACTGCCTTTCCCACTGTCGCTGACCTCGCGTTACGCACCTCCGCACTAGTGACACTCGCTACCCCCACCGCGCCGCCCTTCCTGCTGAGTTCTGCGCCAAGAACCCCCCCCCCATGTACATCGCTCTCTATTACATAGTCACTCGTCTCCCTGACTCCCTGCGCGTAGTCAGGGACCACTTCCTCTCAGTCTGTCCCCCCACCCTCAC